CACTGTTAGCGGCTGACTCAGATGCGACTGACACTGCCTCAGAGAGTGACGCAGGGAGTGACGCAGGGCACAGGGACTATGTTCCAGATACTGCAGGTCCATCAGGGGAAATCGCCGATTCCCCTAATGCTGAACATGGCGCAGATGACTGGGTACCCCCTAATAATTTTTCCCTAGACATCCCAGTGTTTACAGCCAATCCTGGCATACAGGCTGACCTGTCTGGCTATAGTGTGCTGGCTGTTATGCAGCTGTTCTTGGGGGATGAGATTTTTGGGGAGATAGTCACCCAGACTAATCTCTATGCGCAGCAGTATCTGGCACGCAATCCAGACTCTCTTATCTCCAGGAAAGAGAGATGGAACTCAACCAGTGTGCCAGAATTGAAACATTGAAACTGTTATAATACCCCAAATGGAAGCATAGGCTCATTAAATCCGTCTCTCAAAATTCTACTGTGAGTACTGAAAAGGACAGGTCTCCTATATGACACTGTAGCTTCACGAAATAGTGCCAAGGACATACAATGGGGGTGAAGCTACACAAAATAAAGCTACACAAAATAAAGCTTTGTACAGGAATAGCACACACCAACTTTACAAAATATACATGAGAAGTTCTTTGTTATAAGTTTCTGTGCCAGAAACAAAAAAAACCCCACAATTTTACTCCAATATTTAGTAGAGGTTGGCGGTGAAATGGCTATGTAGAAAATGTCAAAACCACCTTAGGTAAATAGCCTGTGATGTCTACCTTATACAAATATATATACTTTTGTGTGGCAATTTTGATTTCTTTTATGGCTATTAAGCTTACAAGACAAACATACCAAATTCTAAAATCGCTCCACATTAAAAGTTTATTTTACTCCTTGTGCTTTGTGACCTGTAACTACCACAAAAAAACTGAAAATCTCAGACACATTATATATTCTGTAAATCAGAACAACTAAATGAATTTATTTTTAATTACTTTCCTTAACCTGCACTAATTATGCACACATTATTATTGCAAAAACTGTAAATAAAACACAACAAATGTAATTTTTTTTGCATGTTTCTGTATTTTTTTATAATAAATAAGCATATATATATATATATATATATATATATATATACATATATATATATATATATACTTATACGTATATATATATATATACACATTATATATATATATATATATATATGTATATATATATATATATATATATATATATATATATATATATATATATATATATATATATATATATATATATATATATATTACATCAAATTAAAGCCCTTTCTGTCCTTTAAAAAACTGTATATAATATGTGTCAGTGCAATAAATTAGTAAAATGCAAGTTGCAGTTGAACGCAAAATGCAAAAAATGCAAAAAATGCTGCTGTCATTAAGTGAAAGACAAGCTTCTGAAGCTCTGTCCTTAAGGGGTTGAAATAAAAAATCAAACATAAGTATTTATCTGCCCACCTGCCCCCCCCATACACACACACACACACACTATCCCCCCCATACACACACCATCCCCTCATACACAGGCTGCCCCCCCCCCACACACAAACAGTACCCCTCACACACTGCCCCCCCACACACACACACACACTGTCCCTCACAGACTGTAACCCTCATGCACAAACTTCCCCACATGCACACATACTGCATCATTCACAAACACAATCAACCCCTATACACTCACTGCACCACACACACTGCACCCCTCACACACACACACACAAACTCACTCCACCACTCACACACACACATATTGCACCCCTCAGACACATTACTGCCCCTATCCCCTACTCAGGGGTTGTGTCCTGCGCCCCAATCGCTGGCCCTTTAAATGGTGCAGCCGCCTAAGCGCTCTATAGAGAGCCTCCGGTGGCTGCAGCACTGCCTCTCTCCTCACCTAACCTCCCCTGTAGCGTGGCCGAGCTCCTCTCCGGTCTGCGGTCATGGCCAGACTGACAGGAAGTGCACACTCAGTGTGCACTTCCTGTCAGTCCGGCCGGGTTCAGGAAACAGAAACTCCCGTACCGCGGTACAGGGAGGGGGGATTAAGAAGCTCGGCCATGGTACAGAGAGGGAGGGGATTAAGAAGAAGAGGGGAGGGGGGATAAGAAGGGGAGGGGGGAGTAAGAAGTAGAGGGGAGGGGGGTGTAAGATGAAGAGGAGAGGGGCAAGAAGAAGAAGGGTAGGGGGAGTAAGAAGAAGAGGGGGATGAGTAAGAAGAAGAGGGAAGTGGGAGTAAGAAGAAAAGAGAGAGGGGGGAGTAAGAAGAAACCAGGGAGGGGGTGGGGGAGTAAGAAGAACACAGGGAGGGGGGAGTGAGGAAAACACAGGGAGGAGGGAGGTGAGGAGCACACGGGGGGTGAGAAGAACACGGGAGAGAGGGTGAGGATAAGGGGAGGTGAGGAGAACACAGGGAGCGAATGGTGAGGAGCACACAGGGAGGGTGGGGATGAGAAGAACACAGGGAGGGTGGGTGGGTGTGAGAAGAGACCACTAGGGGAGGGTGGGGGGAGAGGAGAGACCACTAAGGGGCAGGGGAGAGCTCTAAGGGACAGAAGAGAGAGCTCTATAGAACAAGGGGCAGGAGAGGGAGCTCTTTCACACTACGTTCACACACACACAATGCATCCCTACACACACAGAAACACAACATGCTTCCCTTACACACAGAAAAACACACAATGCATCCATTACACACACACACACAATGCAACCTTTGCACACAAAGACAATGCATCCTTTGCACACATACACATAAACACACAATGCATCCCTTACACACACATGCAAACACACACACTGCTTCTCTTACATACACACAGAAACACAATGCATTTCTTACACACACTCAATGCACACACTTACAGACACACACCTTGCATCCCTTATGCATACAAACACAGATTCACACAATGCATCCCTTACAAACAACCAGAAACACACAATACATCCTTTATACACAAACACACACTGCTTCCACTACACACAAACACACTGCATCACCTACACAAACTGGTATCCCTATACACTATATTCCATAAGCACACACATTAGATCCTCTACAATAACACATAACACATCCCCTACACACTCCTATACGTGAACTTATGGGTGGGCCTTATGGGCATACTCACCATCAGGCCCTGGTGCCCAGACCTTGAGCTGTGTAAGGGGCCCCAAAAAATGGAGCTGCTTTCCGTTCTCCCAGAACATTGAATTTTGTGACCACAGTTACAAACGGCCTCCAGAGATCCTGTTCTACACCAGACCAGTGGAGCCAAACTGCAGCCAGAGCCCATCACCATCCTCATCCTTTTGTAAGTAGGCAATCTAGTATATTATTACTGACACTAATCTCTAATTTACCTCACATTAAAGGGACACTATAGTCCCCAGAACCACTGCAATTAAATGAAGTGGTTCCGGTCTCTATAGCCTGTCCCTGCAAGCGTTTTAATGTAAACACACACTGTGTGCAGCACTGGCATTAGTTCATATGACAGATCATATGGGTGGGGCATTGTGATGTCACGGGGGGGGGAGGGCAGCAATTTTTTTTTTTGCCTAAGGCGGCAAAAATGCTTGCACCGGCCCTGCCCCTACTACAGCCCTATATCCTGGCAGATCCCATGTGAGTTGTCAAATTGTTCTTAAACAGTTTGACTACTTACTCTGGGAGGGCACTATGGCACTACTGGCACCATAACCACTACACATTGCTGAAGTGCTTATTGTGCCTGGATTGTTTCTTTAGATAATCTACCAGTGCCCCTCTCTAGATTAGGTTCTGGATCTGCGCTTGAACGGCAAGCGTTTCTGTCGAACAGGGGCCCAGTATATGTTGCTATGCTGTACATATATACAACCTAAGAAATTATTTTAACTTGGGGCGCCTTGGAAAAATATTGAAATATTAAGGGCGCCTTGAACCTAAAAAGTTTGGGAACCACTTTTCTATGACTTGACAACTTTATTATTTGGTAAATTATTTTTTTTAAAAGCCCAACCAAAATTTTTATTTTGTTTCAAATAACGACTTTACACTGGCACTTATGTATACACAACTTCCAGGCTATACAACTATACCCATCAATCATGTATAAATGATTAGCAATGATTGCAAATTATGCCATAACTACAGTCAAAGAGCTCACAAAGCAGCGGCATAGGGAGCCGTAACAATGCAAGCCTCTGAAGATGAATATAGAGACTACCTTTCTGTGTCCAATGCTGCAAGCCTGCCCTTTATTATATCTACAGCTTATTATACACACACACAAGTCAACTCCTATTTTTCACTAATGGAGTTAGTGGGGGACTCATCTTTGAGTTTCGACTAAAGCCTCGCAAAGTCTAGAGCCGCCCCCGTCTGTAGGTTTTAAAATACCGATAAATTTTTCAGGCACTCACATGGATTCACAAGGATTGTAATACACACCAATGATGTCTTCTGAATTATTTCCTGTAAATCAAAGATTTAATGTTCTCCTGTTAATTACAAGGTTTAGAATAACTTCACAAAGTTCGCTGTGGGGACATCCCATGTGATTGTTTTAGAAAGAAGCAACCAATTTGCTTATTTCCCTTTTTCTTCCCCTCTACTATTTTGCGACTGATGTATGTTGTTATTAGGACAAGGAAACCCCTGCTGCTTGGTGTGCTATGCACACATTATGTAGGAAGCTATTTGGAGTAAGATACATTAATTATGCAATTGCACACATGGAATCGTTTTGCCAATTGGGTTGCCATCTGTCTCCCATTTCTCATAACATAATATTAAATTATATATTGTATTTTACATATTAGAAATTAATTCCTCAACCCGAGCTACCAAGCTGAAGCTGAAAGACACAAGACACAGTGTCAATATTTTAAAACTTCAGTCTGTTTTTCCCTCTACTATATTAGTGTATACACCCAGTAATTGTTCCCTGTGTTATTTTTTTCTTTTTGAGGATATTTCTTAAACAGTTGACTTATTATTTATTTGTGTGAAAGCTGTGGGGTTTACAGTGTGTTTGTGTTGAGTAGCCAGAAGTGCTTTTCACTGTGTCATATGTGTGATATGGTTGTGTGTGGTTGGTTGTGAATGATATGGGTAACTGTGAGTGTTGTGTGTTTGGCTGGCTAATGTGTGATGTGAGTGGCTGTGTGTTGGTAGTTTTGAGTGATGTGTAGAGCTGTGTATGATGTGGTCTGGTGCCAACAGTGATCATGGTCACTAGAGGTCCACTGTGGGCTGTGACCTTGGTTCCTGGTAGTCCAGTGAAGTCTGTGTGTTTCTCACAGGTAGTCAACTGCTCATAGCTTGTTTTCTGCACCCTGGCAGGTGCACCCTGGCAGGTTAAAAAAACATCTTATGTTCCAGGTCTGTGAGGAAGCACACAGTGATCTTCACCCATCAGAGGTGCAACGAAGTTCCCTCACATCATTAAGGCACCATAAGGCAAGTCAGGGAGATCTTTTAATCTCTTTGCCAGCTTGTTCAAAAGCCATCCCTACATCTCCATCAAGCTGTTCCTGGGCACCCCTGCACGCATACTCCTATGAATTTCACTGTTGCAGAGTTATTAAAGATGTAACCACTAACTGGCAATCAATGTACTCGAAAATGAGTTACTAAACCTTTATTAAACCTTGCATTTTCCATGCATTCAGGACAGACACTTTTTGGCACTTTCATCATGATAATGCATAATTATTTTATTTATGTATATGTTAAAAGTGTAACCTTGATCCAAAATTGTCTCATTTGCAAGCCCCAGGAAATATTTGAAAACTAGAGAATCTTAATAATTCATCCTCCATAAATACCAGGACTCCTTCCCTACATCATCTGTATATAGTTGCTGTAACCTGTTGCCATTAATAACGGTTGATAATTAGTAGTGGTTACTAATAACCAACTGATTTCCAATCTTGTCTCTGTTTTTTTACCAACTGACCAGAAATAACATCTGCTCCTAAAGACTTAGCTGTTCTCTGAAACATATGCTTGTATGTATATATTTTAATACATATAAAGTTATGCAAAATGGGAGACAGGTGGCAACCAAACTGACACACTATGTAAGTTAAGCATTTTTACTCCAATTTGTAATTGGCCTTAGCAGTAGATGGTGAGGGTGTATACAATGTATTAAACTGTGATTTTGTGGTATGCCAGATACATATCAATGTAACTGTTGAGGTTAATTTCTGCTATGTGTTCATTTAAATTACATATGCATATCAGTAACTGAAATACTTGTATGCTTTATATCAAGTGTGTAGCCTCTTCTTTCATTTTGTTGCAGTTTGATATTGTTTAATATGGTTTGATATGTTCTTTAGGGTTTCAATATAATGTCATGTTGATTTTTCTGTTAACTTATTTGGAGCAGGCGAGTGTTTTTTTTTTTTTTAGCTTTACCTGCAGCCATTAAAGGAACACTATAGTCACCTAAATTACTTTAGCTAAATAAAGCAGTTTTAGTGTATAGATAATTCCCCTGCAATTTCACTGCTCAATTCACTGCCATTTAGGAGTTAAATCACGTTGTTTCTGTTTATGCAGCCCTAGCCACACCTCCCCTGGCTATGATTGACAGAGCCTGCATGAAAAAAAACTGGATTCACTTTCAAACAGATGTAATTTACCTTAAATAATTGTATCTCAATCTCTAAATTGAACTTTAATCACATACAGGAGGCTCTTGCATGGTCTACCAAGCTATTAACATAGCAGGGGATAAGAAAATCTTAATTAAACAGAACTTGCAATAAAGAAAGCCTAAATAGGGCTCTCTTTACAGGAAGTTTTTATGGAAGGCTGTGCAAGTCACATGCAGGGAGATGTGACTAGGGTTCATAAACAAAGGGATTTAACTCCTAAATGGCAGAGGATTGAGCAGTGAGGCTGCAGGGGCATGTTCTATACACCAAAACTGCTTCATTAAGCTAAAGTTGTTCAGGTGACTATAGTGTCCCTTTAAACAGAAAGGAAACAGGTAACTATGTAGCGGTTAGTGGCTGGAATTGCAATGTTTTCATTTCAAGGTTAACCTGCCTTTGGTGGCTGTCATACAGACAGCCACTAGAGATGCTTCTGCGAAATACTGAAGTAAAACTCTACAATTTCAATCAGAATAAAAAAAAACCATCTGATTGGTGCAATGTGGCTGTAGCGGAGCGGCAATATTAAATCCCACGTTCTCCGCTGGTAAAGAAGGTAATCCACAGTCAAGCACTGAAAAGTAAGGCAATATCCCAACTCCCCCAGTAACCGGACGAGACACAGTTCTGGGAGTCAACTGAGGTTTTTATTCACAGCATCCAGTGTAACGGATCGCCTGGCACCCCGACTGGGTACCTCCGTTGAAGGATGCTCCTAGCGCTTCCTGAGGACTCCAAGCACTGCAGCAGACACCACAACCACCGAACCGGAGAAGCATATGAATCCTCTCAAGCATATGAATGCTGTAGACAGTTGAATAGGAACCATACGAATAGGTTTACTCTCCTAGCAGTCAAACTGGAACAGCATACAATAAATCCTTCCCCCAATAATGAGACGACACTTCACTTTGAGGGTTAAAACAGGAACTCCCTGTACTGTCACATACAGTCTCTTTTATTCCCAATCCACAAACATAGTACAGCCCACAGGGCGTTACAAAACAACCAATCACATCACAGTTACATCCCACATATTCCCTCCCCTTATCCTGAGAGGAAACTCAATTATACATACAGTTAAAACATACTTTCTACCCAACTTTCATAACTCCAAAACCATACATCACATTCACATAAAATTACATATTCACAATCAATCCATTCAGGGGAACAACATATTCAAAAATGGCACAAATCAGACAAGGGGTTCAAAAGTTAGTAAAAAGTCCTTTGTGGCTAAATGAAGCATGGCTTTCTGGCCCAAACCAGTTTCAGAGTCTTCTATCCTGGAGATAAGTAATTCAATTATCTCCCAGGACAGACACAAGACTCCATTAAGCACATGGTTGCAAAAGACACAAAACACTTTAAAATACATAAAGTCACATTTACACATAACACACAGACATTTCACATATCCCCAGATAGCTGGGATCTGAGTGCACATTATTAGATGAATGGCACTCAGATCACACAAATAAGCCTTTCTGCAGGGGAAATAAACAGTTTAACCTGCAGGGCCATAGTCCAAAGGGAGCAGGCGAGCAACCAGGCTTCTCCAGTTCACAGTGGCGAGGTTGGTTTCGCCACACTTCTCCCCTTTACCAACTAGACTAACAGGGTATCTGACCTCCTGCTGGTCAGTGCCCTGGTTAGTCCAGCAACCCACCCACAAAACAGAAACAGCAGTACAGCCCACCCACAATAACTGGTTACTACACCTGGGTAGAGGAAAACTTTGTCCATGTCCAGGTGCCTCACCACGACTGTGTGGGCAACTGTTAGGCTGCCTTGGTGGGTTGCTGAGTGGGCAGAGACCAGCGGTACTCTGCCCTGATGCCAGTGCTACCACGGAAGTAGCCTGGTGGGAGCCTGGTTGTGGGAGGGAGAGACCGACTGTCTCCCCTCTGGATACACCGCTCTGTGGCTGGGGAACAGGACCGACTGTCCCTACCTCTTGTGCTGTAAGTGCAGAGACTACAGTCCCATCTGCACTGTTGGGGGTGTAACATCTCCCCTTGCTGGGTTAGGCTGCCGCTGGAGAGAGGGTGTAACAAGCTCCTCTCTCTGAACTGTAAACTGCCGCTGGGGAGAGGGGGTATCAGGCTCCTCTCCCTGACACTCTCTCTGCTGGTGGAGAGGGGGACCACTGTCTCCCCTTTCATTATTTTGTCCTGTGGTTGGGGTGCGAGACTGACGGTCTCTGCTCCCTGCAGGACACTCTGCCGCTGGGGAGGAAGGACGGCACCTTCAGCTCCCTGGGGTACACACTGCCGCTGGGGAGGAAGGACTGCACCTTCAGCTCCCTGGGGTACACACTGCCGCTGGGGAGGAAGGACTGCACCTTCAGCTCCCTGGGGTGCACACTGCCGCTGGGGAGGAAGGACTGCACCTTCAGCTCCCTGGGGTACATACTGCCGCTGGAGATCTGGGCCGACCGCCCAGCATCCAAGTAGGGCCGGTTGAGAGACCACCGTCCCATCTCCACCTGCCATCTGTGGGTCTGCCCAGGACCAGTCTGTGAGGTCCCTCAACATTTGCGAGTAAGGACCACCTGCTTCCGCACCTGGCAACTCCGGCTGCTGCTGGGGATCTGGGCCGGTCCCATCTCCACATGCCTGTTGTGGTTCCTCACAGGACCAGTCTATGAGGACCCCTACTTCGGGTTCCTGCGGCCGCCTCAGGGGGAGACGGCTAGCCTCCTCGGATGCAGCCTCTACTCGGCTGCTGTAACACTCCTTCCGCTGAGCATACTCTTTCGCCAGCCGGAATTCTCGGGCCAGCCTTGTGTTTCGCTCGGCCGTGACCTGGTTCCAGATCACCCGGCGTACCTCCATGGGTAAATCATCCCCATACTGGGCCACTCGCTGCCTCACCTCGGCCATCCAATCATCGCCAGAGCCTTCCATACTTGTCTGCTCCAAGTCGCTGGATACCTCTGCTCCCAGGGTCGCTGCACGTGTGCTAGCGTTGCCCTCAATTTGTAAATCCAAACGAACTGTGTCTCTGAGCTGCTTTACCTCGCACTAGGACGCCATCCCACTGCTGCCACCAATGTAACGGATCACCTGGCACCCCGACTGGGTACCTCCGTTGAAGGATGCTCCTAGCGCTTCCTGAGGACTCCAAGCACTCTGGCAGACACCACAATCACCGAACCGGAGAAACAAATAAATTCTCCCAAGCATATGAATGCTGTAGACAGTTGAATAGGAACCATACGAATAGGTTTACTCTCCTAGCAGTCAAACTGGAACAGCATACAATAAATCCTTCCCCCAATAATGAGACGACACTTCACTTTGAGGGTTAAGCAGGAACTCCCTGTACTGTCACATACAGTCTCTTTTATTCCCAATCCACAAACATAGTACAGCCCACAGGGCGTTACAAAACAACCAATCACATCACAGTTACATCCCACATATTCCCTCCCCTTATCCTGAGAGGAAACTCAATTATACATACAGTTAAAACATACTTTCTACCCAACTTTCATAACTCCAAAACCATACATCACATT